CTCACCTGTCCTGTCTCTCTCACCTGTCCTGTCTCTCTCACCTGTCCTGTCTCTCTCACCTGTCCTGTCTCTCTCACCTGTCCTGTTCGGCTGCTTTACCGTCCTGCCGCTTCCTGTTTCTTTTCTCTTCAGACACAACCAGCGCCTGCTGGATGTGCAGAAGGACGCAGTCCACAAGAATCGCTGTCATGTGCGCTTTCCAGAGGTCTTCTCCAGCTTCCCCTACAAAGTCAACGTGACAGCAGTCAACGCCTTGGGCAAAGCGTTCACCACCATCTCGTTTGAGGAGTCCAGTATAGGTAAGACGTGTTTTGTTCTCCTCCAACGCCTTCAGCTGGTGTGTGTCAAAGCAGGTGTTCAGATATCAAATGAACTGACAGGTGTTCACTGCTGGAGCTGCACGTCCATGTTGAATAAAGGTTTTTATTTTTACAGTCTGATTGATGATGACAAATGTTGAAAATCTCACAAATACGTCCCCCGAGTCCGTCCAGGTCGCCCAACATGAAAGTTTACCAACAGCGCTTCCCTGAGCTCAGCTCACGGGCAAAGCGAAGAGTCTGTTCCCACACAGACTGACAAGCGTTTGGCAAAGGACAAAAAGAAGCCCAACACAGAGTGTCAGGGATGCCAGCCCTGGAGCAATGTTAATGCATTTGTTTGACCACAGATGACTGATTTCATTCACTTCTGGTTCCCTTTGGAGTTTGCTGCACACACAGCAATGCTTGGTGCCAGGAAGACAAAGAAAATTGAATTTTCATTGGCCAAATAAATGTCACCCAGCTGATAGGAGAGTGCACAGCTTTTTTTCTTTTTTCTTTAACCAACTGCAGAGTCCATTAGCGAGAAACCCACTGACTGTGCAGCCATGTCATTACCAAGGCGCTGGATAATAAACAATCAACCTCTTAACCTTTTCTGCTGCAAACAGTATTTAATTGAGGCTTGGACAGGATGTGACAGTCACAAATCAGGGCTCTGGTTTCTCACTCTGCCTCAGCCAAAACCAGCTGCTAGTTAAGCATATTGTAGTCATATTTCATGTAAACATTATCCTGAACAGTCGGCTCCTTCACTGACATTTGTTTTTTTCCTCTGAATTACAGCCTTAAAGGCCATGTGGCACGTAGTTTAAAAAAGAGAGAAAGGTGACGTTTTCTTGTTCATGTGTGGCTGCAGAGGGCCGCATGCTAACAGCAGCTCTCCTCAATTCACAAGCAACTCCGACTGGAAGGCAGTGAAGAGGAGGAATTCATTTTAAAGGAGGAATGAGAAGTACTTTGATAGATAAGGGGAAGTGCTGCCAGCAGTCCTCGGCTCTGTTGTATTGCTCAGAGCGCGATACGGGTGTGCATGACGCACAAACACACACACACACACACACACACACACACACACACACACACACAGCAGCGGGCCGCGAGCGACTGGAGTGTGTCGGTGGAGAGGGTTAGGCACTGCGTGTGTGTGTGTGTGTGTGTGTGTG